CCGAGTCACATGCAGAGAAGGGAATCTCCCTGGCCCAGAAGGGTCCGAGGCCTGCCCAAAGCTCAGAGAATCCTTTGCTCACCTGGCACAAACGACAGGCGGAGTGCAGTCCAGTCTTTTGCCATTTCTCCTGTCTCTCCGAAATCTCGCCGGCGCGGCAGCTTCGGTGGCCAACTCTCCTTGTGCTGTGCTCGTGTCATATACCTTCTAACCTTCGAGCCCTCCCCCAACGCTGGAGAGCGGCAGAACCCGAACCCCTTCTCGCCACGTCACCCCAGGAGCCGTGGCCCCGTGTCTTCAGCCAAGAGTCCGAAACGAACACAGCCGCAATCGATGCGCCAAGCACCAGCAAGGCACCAGGCTGACCAGTTGGGTCACCACTCATTGATTCCAGGCTCCGCCTAGCGGAATGTGAGGTCAGTTCGAAGACTACAACAGAGGACCCCGACCTCAGAGGAAGCAAACGCCCACGGGTTAGACGGTTAGGCAGGAGTCTGATTACATGAGACAAAGCCAGGTGAAGCAAACCCGAACCTGCGACGAAGGAGTCTGACCGAGACACAACACAGCCAGCAAAACGAAGCAAGCAAGAACCCAGAGCACAGGATTCTCACCGCATGAGGCAACACAGACACAGTAATCAGCAGATGCGCCAGAACACGGGACGCAGAAGTCTGAGAACATGATGAGTGAGACAGAACTCAGGACAGAGAAGTTCTACCAGTACCACATGATTGAGAGTGTCTTTGCATGGCAAGGTTTGGCAAACGTGTGTACACACATGATGCCGTGTTGACAGATGTTAAGTCGCAGCCAGTTGAAGCCAATCGTAAGTATGTACGTACGCAGTGCGCACCTTCGGGCCATTCATGTCTGTGCATGTACTTTGTCCATGCCAGGTGGAAAGGTACATCGCCTGAACCTGCGCCAAGGCATCCCCATGCTAGGTGCCACGTGCAACTTGCAAGCCGCGTTTTCGGCGCACCTCTGTCGGCGAGTTGAATGCTTCCGCCAAGTTGCGGGCATAGTGGTCCAAACCTGCACCGAACGAGGTCCAGTCTGCATGCGCAAGCCCGCTCCACCGTCTGCGCTTCTCCTCCACAAGGCTCTATGCCGTGAAGCCATCGTCGCATTTCTTCCACCATGGCTCCGAGCAGAGTGGATGGGGGTTAAGTGTAGCGAGGCCCGCTTTGTGCTGCCTTGGGTGCCATCTGCGTCAGCCACTACCATCTATATATGCTCCTGCATCATGAACTCAAGTCATCCACATGGACATAAAGCCTTCTTCTGATGGGCTTGCATACTGCCTGAATTCGAGCAATGCTTGGTACTCCAAGTTGCTTGTCATGCACCCCTGACGTCTGGAAACGGCCCACACATTACCATACCCAACTGAATGCTTCATGCAGAAGTCGGTAGCCAGTGACACTGCACAGCGTCATAAACTTGCCAAATCACACCGACAACCATTGCTGCATTCCTCAAGAATGATCGTCACGTTCGTCCAACAGGCAGATCTCACACTCTTAGGCCCGCTTGATATTCCAATAACACTTATCATGCCACCTACACAAGATTCTGCAGTCCATGTTGCGTCTGGGTACGGACCGTAAATCAAGGCCTACTAAAGACATGTAGCGACACGTGGGCGAGAGAGAGAGAGAGCGAGAGAGCTGGGGTTTAAACGAAGTAAAAGCTAGGCGACGCACGACTAAGGTTCCCGTCGCACCCAAGTACTACGAAACAAGGCATGCGGCAGACTCAAGTTAGGATATAGTTAGGATACTAGGATTTACGGACATAGGGCAACCTGCCATGACCTCCGGTGGGAACATCGACACTTCGCACATGACTGCATGCATTTTCTGATGCCGGAAGTACCTTTCACTAGAAGGCTCGCAGGATGCAGCGATGCCCTGGACTGACTCGCGGTGTCGTGCTACTTTGCTTCTGCTCCTTGGGATACTGTGGCAGGCAAACACACCCTCGCCAGGCTTCTGCCACGTGCTTTGGCGGCAGTGAGCACAGTTGCGTCCGTTTGCCACCGTGGGAGGCTCGATACTTCTGTCTCGGAAGAGCTGCCACTTGCGAACGTGCGCTTGTATCTAAACAGTTTTTGAAGTTGGCTGCACGCTGAAGGAGAACGGCCTCCCGTCACCCTGCTTGCGGAAAATGAACAGTTGTGGTTGCCTCTCATGAGAGCACGAGGAGCTGGCCCACATTTGTATGCTTACGACACGGAAGAACCATTTCGGGATTCTGCTCTTTCCTTGCCAACTCCAGATGAAATGTCCCGGTTCTGGTTACAGCAGGCCGTCCTGCGGCTGGCAAACGGCCAGCGCCGCGAGGAACCCTTTCAGCGTACTTCGGCTAGCTCTTTTGATGCGATGGGTGTCAGCACATCGCTTCGGAGCCTTCCAAAGATAGTAACGGAACACTCAACCAGAAGTAGATAGACTGTGAGACTGTTTGGTAGGTTCTCATATGCTATGCGAAAGATGCAAATATGCGGGGCTCCAGCTGTACCAGAATATCTGCCCAAGCAGCCCCCAGCCAACTGACAACAATACGAATCCACCCCAATATATGCTGATATTACACTGGGAATGTTTGCTTCATGGTGCAAAGTTCTTCTTCCTAAAGCTGTTCATCCGCATTCTATTTCTGCGCAAACGTGCTGTGGAAACGGGATACATGCCGCTCAGATGTTCGAGGCGATGGCATCCTCCGAACCTCGGCAATTGAGACTGACACTCTTCCGGCTACATGTAGTTGTTGCAAGCCTGCATGCAAGCCCCGAGGCTGTGCCATGATCGATGTTGAGCCCGCGAAACGTGCAGGCGAGTCGTCTTTTTCCAAATCATCCGCGTGATCAGGGGTGAGAAGCCAGAGATGCCGCTCAGCGCTTCCTGCCGTGATACAGCAGGTGCTCAGTTCGTTTACATGACATCAATCAGGATGCCTGCGTGTCGTGGATCCGCGCGACGCTCGCCGTGCACCTGCTTGCACAATCACGTGGGCTTCGGCCAGTATTGCGACTCCACCCACGTAGGCCGCTCCTTCTTCCACCCGCCGCAGCATCCAAGCAGAAGTGGACGAAACTCGGTTCAAACCACAAGATGCCAGAAATCAAACTAACTGCGTGAATCCTGGGCGCGTGTTGCCAATCCCGAGACACGCGCTCACTCGGCCTTCAGTGAGCTTGACGTGGTAGTTTTCGCTGTCAACTGTGAAGGAGACCGTGGCCTTCCAGGGCACAGGGTTTTTGGCATGTCGCCCAAGAACTGCAGTACCCGCTAAAGCTCACCTCATTGCCTGTCTTGCATGTGCACACTGTGTCGCAGAAGCTTGCGTGAAAAAGATGGTCAAGCGACATGTCACAAGGTCAGGGCTTTGAGTTCGGGAGTTTAGGGGGTTTTGCCTTGGGGTTCCCGCAACCTGCGGACAACCAGTCGACTGCTTTCGTCAAACAGCATGCTGGCCTCTACCTGAACGCCGACACCGAAACACGGCTCAGGACGTTGCTTAGACCTTTAGGTATGCTTAAGGGTTTGGAGTGCAGAGTGTTCTTTTGCATGTGGTGAAGCTTTCGCTTCGCGACCATATTTGCGAAGGCCTGTGCCCAGTGCGCACATAAGGTTGATCTGGGTGGCACACAACCGTGGTCTTATCATGTAAGCATTTAATAACACCTTTGTGACGTCGCATGCAACCTGATGAAGTCGCCCGAAACCAGTCTGGCAGCTATGTTTGCCTGGCGTGCTGAAAGAGAGGGCGATGGTCTGGCTTCCATTTGTTATATTCCCATCCCCATCCGGGTTCCTGATCTAGCCATCCCGACTGTACATGCTTTCCCTTCAGCGTGCTGTCTCCTCTATCTTCTGAAGCTCGCTCGCTCACCAGAGTGCAGCCATGAAGAGGACCCTGTGTAGAGAAAGCAGAGTGCAGGGCCAGTTATGATTAGGGACAAAGCGTGCGTACGGAGGTCTTAGCGGAGCCCGTTCAGGACAAGCTTTGTTGGTTTTGAGAGCTCGCACCTTAACCTAGAAAAGCAATGGACTCTTGGGTGCGTCATCAGCCCTCACAGGTGACGCAAGGCTTGTAATCGGTTCCTGGACTTCCATGTTGAGTAGCACCATTAGCACAGTCATGTGTGGCCGAGAGGTTGTTGGGATATCCAGAACATGTGCTGACGCATCAAGGTACGTGGCAGCCTCTACCGACTCTACAACAAGATACAAAGCCATGCCACCTCTGAGCCCTTCGACCTCCCGCAATGATTTCCCTGTGATCTGAGTTGCTAGGAGGGCAAGCGGATCATATGTGCACACCGCTTGCGGATCTTATGCGCACGAGGCCTCCCAGATCATATCCGCACATGGTTTAGCCCTCAAAGATCATATCCGCACGTGGTTTTCAGGGCTTCTCGCGTGTCTGCACCCGCGCAAAGTGTCACGGAGCCCACCATAGGGTTCTAAGGCTAGCTTCAGGGCTTGGGGTTTTAGGGTCTCGGATTCAGGGCTCATGATTGGAAAGGGCTCAGGGGTGGTTTAGGGGTTTTTAGGGTTTCGGGCCTTTTGGGTTTAGGGTTTTTACGGATGGGTTCAGGGCTTAGGGGTTTTAGGGTTGGTTTTGGAGCCCATGTGTCCCATTCGTGGCGCTCGGGGCAGGTAGGCAGATCAGATTTGCAGCGTGCGGCGACAAAGCAATAATAGCACTTCCGCTTCACATGGATCCGACCTTGATGCCACTAGCACTTGGGAGTTTGGAAGGAAGTTTCCAACACTGATTTTGGCCATGTAGTTCTGCACTCCCCCCAATGTGCAAAGGTGCCTCCTCACAGGAACCACGTGCAGTACACATTTATGTTCAGCCTAGGCTTCAAAACACACCAAGCTACGCTGTCGAACTTTTGCGCAACAGGGATCAAGCTGCTTTTTTCACAAAAACGGCTTACCCGACCCACCACCCACCTACCCACCCACCCACCAACCCACGAAGGCAGCAAGCATCCGAGCATCCGAAAAAATGGGCCTTGCCATTCAGGAATGCCTGAGACACGCATGCATCAGTCATCAGCCGGGCACACTACACAGGTGGGAAATGAAAGGATACCTTTTCAACCTTGCTTGCCGCAGCTGTCGGCAAGCTCTCCCAAGCATCTCCACCAACAAGTTTCCACCTGGAGCTGCACTGCACACAATCTCGTCCAAGTGCTTGCCTGCGACACCGTCCAAACACTACTCACTACTTGTATTAGCTGGGGGCGGCGCTGCCAGGACATGACACACTTGAAGACAAGCAAGGACAAACAGTAAAGCCGTTCGCTTGATCCAAATACACTGCTGCAGCACGAGTACATTTTCACCACCTTATAGAAGGGGCTGTAAAAGGGATTCTGGGGTTGTTTCTTGCAACAGCATGGAACGTCGGATTAAGTCACAGGCCCCTTGGGCATGTCTTGGGATTTACTGGTGTTAGATCCACCCAACGTGGTCGAGGGGCAAAGCTAGCGACTGGCCAAAACCATGTGAGGGAGGTGTGGTTGATTCCCCGGGCTGCACTGCAGCTACATTGTACTGCCTTAGGTCCACTACTGCCCTTGTGATGCTGGCTGTGCTCGGTGTGCTGTCAAGCACCTGTGCCAATGGGGACCAAAGGAGGCGGGTGTCGCGCAATTTCACAGGAGGAGGATGGCTCAGATGATGAATCGAATCATCAGCTGGCCAGCCAGCCAGCCAGCCAGCCAGCCAGCCAGCCAGCCAATAGGTTGGAGTACCAAACCGGACCGAACATTGCAATTGACTCGCCGTCTTTGGGACACTTAGGCCCCGTCACCGCGCCGACGTGGGCGGACGACGAACCGCGCTGTCCCATCCTGGCACGTTGCAATGTCGACTCCAAACTGTGGCCTAGAGCACAGCCATGAGCCTTTGCGATGTGGCGATAGCACGAGACCTCCATCCATCCAAGCTCGCATTGACGACATGACATTTGGAGCATTGGGAGAGAAAAAGCAATGTGCTGAGCTCACGGCTTCTACGTGAGCAGTTTCGTGGCGGAACGTGGCGCCAGCGGCCACTCTGAGGTCAAGCTCTGCTTTGCTGTAGTCCTGGTTCAAGCCGCAGGAGGCCGTGGCCAGAACAACAAGCCTCAAAAGAGGAAGGCTCCTCAAGCCTATCTCCAGACAACATCACGCAGAGGACCTGAATGCGTCAGTATATTGCCGCTCAAAACAATGGATGCGTGCCTTCGGGGCGCAAGCATTGTCATGGCCTTGCCTCTCCAAGACTTCGGCGACTTCGCCCTCAGAGGGGATGAACACCTCCAAGATCGAAGCATGGAACACTTGTGGAACGTGGGAAAAAGTGGGGTTGTGAAGATGACAACCAGGCGCCTTAGAGTAGACTGCGGCGCACACGTGCTGCCAGCCCTGGCGTGGCAATCGTGGCATTAGCAAATCGCGGTACAGCTGACAAATTTCAACTGCTAGGATTCCACATGCTTGAGGTTCAACAGCTCGCGCAATTGCCGCAGCAACTGATTCAAAGCTGTGCCAGGGCTCCAGCATACAGGTGACTTGGATGCATTGCACGAGCCATGGGGGCCACCATCAAAGCGGGTTTGCTCCCCACACAGGTCCTACGGTTTGCTGCAATGTCCTTTGTTGGACGTGACTAGCACGACAAAGCACAATAAAGGCCACAGAAACTGCAGAAAGGACAGCGACACTGCCACGACATTTCCAGTACTCAGAAGCACTTGTCGTTCACACGAGTACTGCAGCGGAGCCGAAAAGCCGCAAGGAAACGCTCCGAAGGTCCGGGTAACGAGCTTCGTCTTACAAAGGTGAAGTATGGAGTCTAGACACGTAGGAGTTTCAAAAAACGAAGGACCCCGACATAGATCTAAAATCCAGGAGACCCGACGAACGAAGTTAGGAAGTTCGAAGTATTCTATAATCAGACCAAGAGTATCTGAATAAGCAGGTATGAAACGCATTACGTAGTTGGCATACAGACTGCTCACAAACACTCTTCGGTGCCTAGCTCGACTGGCCGCGGCAGGGTTCAGCTGATGAGCTTGTTGGCTTATGGATCCGAAGCTCCAAGTACCGAGGAATAAACGGGTCCTTCCCTACGAGCAGCCACTGCTGTGCGAGGTAGAACCTCTTTGCTGAATTGTCCAAGCAGTGCAAACGTTGATATCTGCAATTTGCCAGAAATCCGCTGTAAGCTAGATCATGCTTGAACGGTTTTTGATCAGAGGCTGCACTGGTCTCCATGGCTGTGCGCAACATTCTAGGCGAAGCTGTGCAAGCAATCAAAACCTGCCGAATTTGCCTCACAGCCTGCGCTAGCTGCTGAATCAAGCCCGATCGAAGTTTGTGTCAAGGTATGTCAGGTGGGAGTGGGTGGGGCCGCCCGCTCACTCTCAACATGTCGAAGCTTCAAGACGCGATTGTCAAACGCCAGGATGCAGCCTCGTGAAGCTTGCGAAAGTCGATGCCAGAATCACCATGACCAAACACACGCAAGCCGCAAGCCTAAACCTCAATGGGCCCAGAAGAACCGCTCTCGAAGGGACCCTCTGGTCAGAGCAGGGGGGACATGCTGCAATGATGGATTCCACCGGGATAATTCGGGAAGATGGGAACACGGGAACACTATTAGCCTGGTGCTGGTGCAGGGACACGCACAAGTGGATGTAAATCTATCACGTCTTTGTGTGGGCAATGCTTTGTGCAGTGCTTTCTGCTTGTTGCGAAAAGGCCGCTGTGTGCATTCGCCAAAGTGGCGACGCCTCCTCGAGGCAGCGGCGGCCGGTGGCAGCGCGGAGCTCTCGCGAGAGAGGGGGGCGACTCGTGCACAGCGGAGTCTTAACCCAGAGCAGGTCCGGAAGTGGATGTGTTTGCTTTGGGGTGCAGCATGCTATCGTGCAGAACGATTGAAGCAGAACTTGAGATGGGGGATTACGTGTAGCCGTTAATCGCTGGAGACAGGGCCAGTTCTTGCTGTAAAAGCTTGAGCAACGACAAGATCTTGTTGCCAGACCCAAGACCTGACCAGCTCGCCTGCCTGGCTTTGTCGCCAAGTTGACAAACGGCGGCAAGCTAGGTGCGGCATCTACTTGACCGTATTGTTGGGCAGGAACCAGGTTTTCTGCAGGTGCGGACATCCTGCACTGGCGCGCTTATGCCAAGCAACAACGGGCTTGGCGCACTGCGGCAACTTCATCGCCACATCTTGCGAGTGAAACAAAATGTGAAACAGGAATTCCCGCTGCGCCATTCACTTTGAACCGCCTCGCTAGCACAGCTTTGATCATGCTGCCAGCCCCGAGCAGACCTCCCTTCTGACCACATGCTAATCCCCGAGCCCCGAGCCTCAGCGGCTGTCCGCCAACATTTTGGACGGAGGCGCAAGTCCCGGCATGAGCTTCGCCGCTTTCCTGCCGTTTCTGAGGTAGACAATGCAGGAGCGACCCCCGGCAGTGGGCTGCAGATGCTGCAGGCTGGCAGGCGGTCCCGGTGCCGGCCAAACGCAGTACAGGAGTCAGGAAGCCGACAGCCTGCGCACCACGACATGAAGAGGCCCTGCAGTAGGCCCTGCAAGGCACTTAAAGCCACGCTGCAGTGGCTGGGCTGGGCCTCCGATGGAGGCGCCTGAGAGAAGTGGTGCGTTGCCGCAATCTCCCCATTCACCTGGCAGCAGGCCGGCCGGGGCCGCCCTCCGCAAGCTCTTCAAGAAGCTCCAGCGCAGGAAGACTCGGTAGCGGCACGGCCACTCTGATCAGCGCGCCGCCCTCACGATTGCACCTCTGCAAAGCCATGTCAGACGTCGGCATCTCGGAGAGTGCAACCGCAAGCAAGAGATGATCAGCAAACCCCCTTCCGCGGTGCGTTTTGGCTCGCACGGAGGCCGAGCTTCGGCCCAACGGCGCTCAGGGTGAGACCCGGAAGTCAAAGGACGAAAAGTCGCTCAAACTGCTCAGGGCTGCGGCGGGGGCGTTTGTGGTGGGGGCGTCTCTCCAACCTGGAGCTCCGCGTTCATGAGCACGGAATGGACCACCTGCATGGTGGACAGCACCGTTTATGAAGATCAAACAAATTCAGGAATGTTGACTTGAGAGTCTTGAGAGGTTTGTTGGTCTAAATAGTCCGAATATTGCCTCTCGTGCTATGTCGGCGGCGACTTCTGCCACGCGCTCTGCATGTAGGGCCAAAGACAGGAACACCGGCGAACCGGGACGTTGCTGGCCACCAGCACCGCTCACTGCACCGCCGACTGCAGGCGACGTCGCGGGCCGTGCCCGCTCGGCGATCTCCTCGGCCCGCTGACGCAGCAGTGGCGTCACCGAAACAGAGGCTTGCTCGATCACCTCCTCGGCGGTGTTGGCAGAGAGCTGGAGTAGCACCTCGTTGCGCAGCCAGAGCTCGAGATCCGCCATTCTGTGGCGCAGTCCTTGCACGTCCTTTCAGGTATTTTCAAGTACTTAAATGGTCGCAGGCTCGTGACGTGAACATCGAAAGCTACTCCATGACTCTCCAGCAGTTGGCGCTGCTCCTCGAACCTGGCCTCAAGCCAGCTCAGGTGCTCATCTCCGAAACGGGCGTCTAGCGTGTTCTTGTGCTCTTCCAGGCGCGACTCAAGGTGCTTGATGCTAGGATTCAGATCCTCAAATCGGCTCTCCAGCATCCGGCTATGCTCTTCGAAGCGGGTCTCGAGCTCGCGGAAGCTCGCAGAAGCGTCCTCTTCCATCCGTGTCTCCTCCAGGCTGCGGCTCTCGTAGGACGCGAGCTTTGCGCGTTCCACTTCCTCCTCCTGGCGGCTGAAACAGCTGAAGGCCTGCTGGAGTTCCCTTACATCTGCCGAAAGCTGCTCGAGATCGTTCTGAGGTGCCGAGACACCTCGGGTCGGCTAACGAAGAGGCTCGTGATACTGACAGGCACTTCTTGGTGGTTGCTGCATGCCGCGCGCCGACGAGATGCAGGCTAGCTCGTCCGAGAGGTTCCCGCATGACGGCGACATCCCGCAGAAGGCCCTTCAGGAGAACAGCCTGACGTTGAAGCTCGGCCTCGACATCCAAACCCGTGCGGTGCCCGAAGAAATGGCTCCTGGATTCCTCAGAAAGCTCTAGACCACACGTGGCGGTTGCTCCCGCCCTGGCGCCCCTGGGTGTGCTGTTCACGCTCCAATCCTGTGCCGCGTCCAAGGTCCGCTCGGTTAGAGGTCGCTGGTTCGGTGTGTTTTCTGCTAGTGGCCGGAGGTCGCGCATGGCCTTCGCGCCCCGCTTCATTCGCCTGGAAAGCTGTGGCAGCTCAGGAGCGTTGCCGGCAAAGTTCCAACGCCTCAGCCGCATCTGGCGGCGAGCCGGGTGTGTTAGGCAACATTTGGTCGGCCCAGGACCTACAAAGGCCCCCCAGGCCCTAGACACCCTTCGGCCCTCAGCCCATCCGGCCCTCGAGCACAGGTCAAGCAGGGAAATGCGTGTGGTCTGGAAAGTCGGCACCGAGTTCGCTTGCAGAGTCCTGTCTTTGTCAAGCCACAGTCTCGAACTGAAGCGGGTGCACGGCAGAGCCTGCCTTTGGCAGCGCCCACCTTGCCGGCCTAGCCTACACGAGTAGCCTTGTGGCACCTTTGACCACCAGCGAGCACTGCAAGAAACTGCAAGCACTGATCGCTTCACGGCACACAGCTGGCCGACGCATTCTCCGAGCAGGCCCTCACCTCCAGCGGGTCCCAGTTGCGAGGGCCTCGGTTGCTAGGCACCGGAATGCACCGTGACAACCTAGCTTCGAAACGCAACTCGGGTTCGGGCCCCAAACCGTCCGGCACCTGGAGTAAAATCCCTTCTTGTGGAGTTTAGTATCCGAAGGACTCGCAAGGCTCGCCTTGCAGCATCTCTGCGCGTGGAGTCGGAGAAACACACCAATGCCTCGAGACTCGAGAGGGCTTCCGCTTCAATGGGGTACAAGAATCGCTGGCTTGGAAGGGGCAGCACGGTGTCGCTCCGCACCACAGCCGCCGCAAAGTTCCACGAGATGCCATCGTTCACGACAGCCTGCCACGTTCTGCAGGTTGAGGTGCACCGGCGCACTATGCTCCAATCGTTTCGCTGCTGGCCTCGGGTCCTGCTTGCAAGATACCGTCAGACCTGAGCAGGCCCTCGTTTTAAATTGATTTCCGATTCTCTCAGCTCGACTGGCCATGTACTGCGGTGCTCGGCTTTGGGAGTTTGGCATACCTCGCTCCTGCTGTCACTCTAAGTCTTGGTTCACGTCCCAATCTCAGCGAGATTTCGCATTCGTCCCGAAAAATCTAGGAAGTCTGTTGGTGTTGTACGATGATCTCTGGCCGCGAGCTTCTCTGTAGCAGTTTGAGCTTCAAGCCTGGCGTTATCTCCGAGAGAGGCTGCCCGTAAGATTGCGGGGTGGAACCATCTTCCGACTCGCGGCCTTGCGGGGCCCCGGCATGCCCAGGACGTGGCACCTGCCCTGGCTCGGTCCAACCTTGGGCTCGCCCCCATCGCCCCAAACGAGAACTTCGAGGGCCGCGGCCGCAGCCTGTGTGCAGACCCCGCAGGTGTGAGGGCACCTGCGGCCGAGCGAGGCTGCGAAGCACTGGAGAGGGGAGAGGCCCGCAGAGGCCCAGATTTGGGGGATTTGGGGGAGGAAGGGGAAGGGGAAGGGCACAGGTCGAACATGAACTTCGGGTTGAAGCTGCACCTCGGCTCGCAGCAGCAAAAGGTACGGCGTTAGAGCTCAGCAAAGCCGGCACTCGGTGCCACACTCTCCGGCTGCAGCCCAATCTTCGCACTGAAGACGTCGATCCATGCAGTGTTCCAGCAAAGGGCCCTTCCCAACATCTCATCTCCGTATTCTTTCCTGCATGCCGGCAGTGCAGAGGTGCCTGGCGCTCCATACAGAGCAGGGCACCTTGGTCTGGAAAAGTCTTGAAACTCTCCCCTGCATTTCGAGCATGCCTGGTGCATGAGTGTGTGCACGCTACCCTTTTTCAACCCTGCAACCTGCTAGCCCCTGCAGGGCAGTTGGGGGCCCACAGTATCCGTATCCGCCCTATCTCCAGCCACCAAGAGATCTTTGAAGATCAACACACAACACACGCATCTTGAGAATGCTAGGTGGAGCACGGCTGGCAGACACGGCACCAACGCTCAGGTAGCGAGTGACCTGTTGCAAGTGGGAAGTCGGATGTGGCTTCCGAGTGGTCGGGCTGGAACGCTAAGAACAAGGCACCGTGGTCCACCGTAACGTTCCCCGCCTCCACCTCATCTCTACTCACCCCTACGTACTGTGCCTTCGCATGTGATCACACATGTCTGTGACAACAGAGGAAGATAGAACAACTCGGCTGAACACAAGTGAAGCACCGCTCGCTTCAAGCATCTTGCACACCTCAGTGCAAGTTCTGGCACTCTTGACTCAAACCCTTGCCCTGCGGAATGCCACACCGTTACACCATCCGAAGCCGGCTTTGGAGTGAGAATGCTGATCGGCAGCAGGAGTGACGAAGGCATTCCTTGAGGAGCGGCGTAGCTCTCTTTGTCAAAGCCGCCGGCCGTGCTCACGGAGCTCCAGTCCGAGAAGCAGAGCAGCACCTGGGCGGGCGGCGGGCCAAGTGCAAGAGATGCGCAAAAAAAACGTTGTGGACCCTCGTGAGCCCGGTGGGCCCCCACTGCGTCGCTCGGCGAGGTGAGTTGGGTCGCAACGAGAAATGCAGCCTCTCCAACAAGCTGAAGCACCACGACATGATCCTGGCCGTGTTCCCTCAATTTGCGTGCTTCATTTGGCAAGGCGCCTGGGTGCTTACCTGCACGGAGCTGATGTTGCTCAGCATGGAGCCTAGTCTAACCAAGCAGGAACTCCGAGATCGCAGTTCCAAAGACTCCGAAAAGGCCTGAGACCTCGAGGAGGTGGCAGTAGGACCGGCCCTGCGCCAGGAGGCCACCGCCATTCACCGCCGCTCCTTCGCCGCTCGGCTCTGCCTCGATGGAGTCGGCACCGCAGGCCACGAGCCGCGACGAGCCGAGGCTGGCCAAGGCCTCGCTCCGCCACTCCGCCGCTCCGCCGCTCCGCTCTTTGGCCCCTCAAAGCCAAAGCCTCCTTGAGCTCTCTATTTTCTTCTTCAACGGTTTGTTCTTTTCGCAAGGGCTGGGGACAAGGGGGAAAAACGACCCCACCTACAGCCAGAGTGTCAGATTCCCACCCAGCGAGGATGAGCGCTTCCTAGTCTAGTTGTCGGGAGGCTCCCCCACAACGATCCCCCATCGCTGCAGCCGAACTTCATATTCCTTGTCTGCCTCTTGGAGCCGCAGAAGGATCCCTTTTGGACCACTAGAACATGATCGTACATCTTGCAACAACATCTTGGATACAAACGACCCTCAGGATTCATTGCCCGGTGGGCGGATCTAATTCCATAACCGTGTACACCCCCCCCCCCCAGGATACATCAGTTAGGGCAGGGTATGTCCCGAATGAGCAACGCAAGGTGGCGTACAGGAGCAAACTCTCCCCAACATCGCCCTGCACGTAGTTTGTCGAAGACATCCCCCCTCGAAGCGCGGGCAATGGCATCTTCCTTCCTTCCTTCCTTCCAAGGGGTTAGGCCAGGCGAAGTCCGGCCCGTGCCTACCGGCACCCCCTCTCCCCCTTCTGTTGCAGAGGGAAAAGGGCTTTGGGGCGTTGAGTGTAGGTTACATGTACTGCGGATGGTTCGGCCGGTAGAGTCCTGACTGCCGTCATCTCTCTCTCTCTCTCTTTCTCTCTTTCTTCCTGAGCAGCAGGCGAGCCCTGAGAGAGTTCCAGGCACGACCAACTCTGGCCCCCTGGTAACAAGCATCAGCCAAAGGACGTTCTGTTCCTCTACCATTGCACCCAGGATTAAGAGGGAAGGGGGTTCTGCAGGTCGAGGCTCAGGCATTGAGAGGCTACTCGAGCTTCCCACGTCCAGGAGCCGACATCGCCAGGTGTCTAAACCTCCGTTGCGCTGAGAGTCCTTCTTAGGCAACTCAAGCGAGTTGCACCTTGCTGGAAGCAGACCGCTGCCCCGTCCACCAAGCTTGTCAGCGAGATGTGGTACGTCTCAGCTGCGCCTGAGCTACCACTGGCTGTCAAGGCGAGCTGTGCTGGGACCCGAGGTCTGGACTCAAGAGCACCTCTGCACCCTCACATGATGCGCTTTGGCACTGAACGTCTCCTACTCCTACCGTGTTGCAGCGGTTTTCGGCCTGTGACAGCGACTCGGAGACGAGCTCCAGAGCCCGGCACATTGTGCTCCCACCTCCAGGAAGGGATAAGTCGAGCTTTAGAGATGTCCAGCTCCCTCCCGGCTTGCCGGCTTGGACAAGGCACCTGTGATTCGGTAGCACGCGACTGCCTCACCAAGGCAGGTCTAAGCCGTCTAAGCTTAGAGGCCGGAAGTTCGAGATCGCCTTGTCCAAGGTAAGGGGTTCCAGGACAAACTCCTCCACCTGTGACAAAAGCTGTCGCCCTGACGGAGTCACTTCACTTGTCAGTTTCAGGAAGGCCTGCGGACCAGTCAGTGTGCTCCACTGACCCTGTCGCGTCGCCCTGGCAACCGCTTGGCTGCAAGTCACCGCCCAGCCCAGCGAGCCCAGCGCGGCACCGCGAAGATCCGCAAAGCATGCGGGGGCTTGGCGTGACAGAGGCGAGCAAAACCACGCAGTGTATGGCCAGGCTGAGCTCATCCTGCGCAGTCTTCAAAAAGAGTGCAAACGGGGAGGTGGGCTTAGAAGTTCGGATGAATCCTTAAAGCAGGCGAGGGCTGTGCCGTCACGCAGCCCAGCGGCGGCCTCATGTCGGGTGTCCACATTTCCACGTGGTGGTGCCAGAGTGCTGTGATCTGCGCTGGGTCGGCGGCTACATTTTCCGCCCACGCCTGGGCAATCGTGTCGTCGGAGGGCTCATAGCCGAGCCACACCGACTCCTCGGAGGGCACCAGAAGCGCCGGGTCCTCTGAGCTTTCGCTCCCTCGCGCCTCGATGCACTCGAAGCTCGCGGGCCTGCCATGCCGGAGCAGACGCACAGTCGCCACTTGCAAGTACACAGATGGGAGATCTGGTCCCTCGGGCAGCGCTCACTTTTGCACACTTCTTTCTCAGCGACAACGCAGTCCGAGCATGCGCGACTCGCGCATGGCGCAGAAAAGTCCAAAGCGAAGTCCCCCAACTGCCGTCGTGCCGTGCTGCTCCAAGTCAGTCGGCTTCACTCACGGGCTCGCTCCCTTCGAGGAGGTTG